ACCTTAACCAATAGAAAAGCCGTGAGCCCCTTTCATGTAGATATGTCCAAACTTTGGAAACTGCAACCAGACTTGATCACCAACAAAGTTCACAGTCACCCCAAAATGGAGTCAAAAAATGGAATGAACTTGCCATATGTTCCAAGTAAATTCTCAACTTTGTATTGGCCTGCATTTATAGATATCCTTGGCTACATGTGCCTTTGGGCTGTAAATTGGTCAAGCCTTAGAGTTTCTACCATAAGGCAATTTGCTCACCTACAGCTGTCTATCTAAACAAACTTACATGCAAACAAATGAACAGAGGCTGCTTATTCCCATAAATAATGTCATGTCTTTCAGATGAGCATATGCATGCTCTGCCGTTAACTGTGAGCTGCTCAAAGATGTTGTGGAACAGAGAAGTTTATAAAAAAATAATTGCAAGGAGTATTAGAGCTAATACATGGAGCAAATACTCTTTTGGCCAGGTTTGATTAGCCTTGGTTGTACACAACATAACCTAGTCATCTGAAAAGAAGAAACCTCAACTTAAGAATTGCCTACATCAGATTGACCTGGGGGGGGCATTATCTTGATTATCAACTGATGCAAGAAGGCCCAGCTTCCTAAGATCCTGGGTAGCTGAATAGATAGACATTCTTGGTATATCTTGGTATATCTTAGTATATCAAACAAGAATGTAGAAGACTTATTCCCCTTTCTCATTCCTCAGCCTGTGCTCTGCTTCCTCCATACCCTTTGTAGTATCCTTCATAGGAAGCTAATGGATGTAAGCTTTAGTCCCTGAAGTCCAAAAGGAGCTGCAGGAACTAACCATATGCAGTGAGGGGTTGAAGGACCTCAGTGTGTACACGGTTTCTCAGAAGCACAGGTAAGACAGTCTGAGGCTTGGAAGTGGCATCTCATGTGAGAGGGACAAACTTGGGGCACAGCCTGACATGTGAGGTCTGACAGTGTCTCAGTGTCAGAGCTGACCTGACTTAGAGGTTGCACATCTGGTGTCTGCTGCAGAACTGATCTTTTGCTTGTTTGGTTGAAGACACAGACATTTTAGAATCATGGAAGTGATGTTATGAGAGAAATGTTCAAGAACCACCTTGAGGACATCTTTTTCTACTAAGTCATCATAATAAGAACCCCATGACTCTGTACCCATTGCACCTCTTTCTATCCCTCCCCAGCGTGACATTATACAACAACTGAGGCCACTGAGGTCTGCTTCCTGTGTTGACCATGGCCGTGTGGAGCTGCCTGGTGACAGGAGCAGGAGGGTTTCTGGGCCAGAGGATCATCCGCTTGTTGGCTCAGGAGAAAGAGGTGAAGGAGATCAGGGCCTTGTTCAGGTCCTTCACTCCAAAACACAAGGAGGAATTATCCAGTAAGTGACCTGGAGGATGGTGAACACGGACTGGGCATGGGGAGGGCTTGCTTGTCACCAAGTAAGAAACAGGTGGATCTGTGAAGAGCCTCAGCAGGAACAATCACAGTTGAGACAGCATCAAAGGCACTGCATAGTTGGAAAAAGTGGATTCTGGATGACCCAGAACTAGAGAACATGGCCATGGGCAGGCCCTGGGCCTTCAGGCTGCTCTCCTATGTAGACATTGCAGATCAGTTTTCTCCTTGCTGGAAGCTTTTGTGTCTTAAACTGTCTCCACATGGCAATATTGTGCAACACTAGCAAAAGATTGTTAAACTAGAGACCTGAGCAGTGGGAACCTGCCTCCTTTGAACATTCCCTTTCGGCTTTGTAGTTTCTTTTTATTTAAGACTAGGAGAGAGTGAAGTTCATAGCAGGAAGTGAATATAATGTAAAGGTAAATTGATGAAGTTGGTAGGGAGGGAGAGAGAGGGAGAGGGAGAGGGAGAGGGGGACTAGAGAGCATATACACAGGATAGAAGCAGACTAAGGGCCAGGTGGACTTCATATGTGTCATGGGTTTCCTCCAATGTCTTTCCCATCCTCAAAGAAAGTATCTACAGATGCTGGAGAGGCACCTTGTGTTTTTCTCTATCTCTCCCCCACCCCAGGCCAAGTGCAAGCACTGGGTTGATATCATTTCCCAGCTGCTCCATTCTCACATCCTTCTGTGGATGTAGCTTGTGAAGGACCCTTGCTCCCAGTGTGAGGCCATCTTGAACAGATCTCTTCCTCCATAC